ATCGGCCGCGTGCCCCGTCTCGTGCGCGGACGGGGTCGGCGTACAGCCCGTCGAAAGGTTCGTCCTCGAAGNTCACCAAACCAATCTTCCAGCGGAACACCAACACCCGAACATACCAGCATGTCGGTCTCGCTCTCGCTGCTGTCGCCACGGCTGGTGCGGTCATGTTCTTCTTGCGGGCTGCAGATCTTCTCGGCATCATGATCACTGCTGTCCGCACCAACATCTCCCACCTCAACATCCATCTCCACCGCACCTTCAGTCTCCATAATTTGAGGCGAATCATGCTGCCCTTCCTGCTGCTGAGCTGGGGGATTCAGCCATGCTGCCAAGCTCCCCGCCATCCCGGCGTCCTCCTTGCTCCACCGCGCTCGCATGTGGCGATGCTGCGTCGACCGGTAGAGAGGTTGCACCGCGTTTTTTCGCGCAGGCGGCGCGACTTCGGGCGCAACCGCCATTGCTGTGCGAGCTGCTGCAGACACCGCAGCGCTCGCTGCAGAGCGAACCGCAGAACCGAACGGCAGTTTCGCCTGCCCGCGACCTGGCTCGCCACCCGCATCCTCATCGCGCCAGTCGTCGTCGTGGTCGTTGGTGTGCATGGGAGAAATATTGGCGCCTTCATGGTCGGAAGAGGTAGGAGAGTCGTTGCCTACAGCAGGTCCGAAGGGGGCGAAGGGGCCTTCCGAATCGTGCCGTCGGCGTTCCTTGGCAGCTTGCGCTTACCCTTTGGGCGACCCATGTGCCCGGAGCGCGTGTGCGTCTTTCGTTGCGTGCGTTAAGGGTGTGTGTGTGTGTGTCCTCTGGTGTGTGTGTGGCGGGAAAAAATTCCCCGAGGGCGTGTGAAACCACCCGAAATATCTCCGAAACCCGAGTTATTTTTTTGACATCGGAAAAAAATCATAAATTATCGGTGGGAAATCACGAGCGGAATCGATTGCAGCACTTTATTTTTGAATCGTACGGTTGGATTGTCCCCAAGAAACTAAGCAAAATACCCGCCAATATCCGTTTTTTTGCCCATAACTCCGTTATTTTTTGTCAAATTGGAAATCGGAATAAAATCATCGGTGACAAATCACGAGAGCTGTCCAAATCCGGTCTCAGATTGTGTGTCTGCAAAAAACACCGCCCTCCAGAAAGTAAGCAAGATTTCTTGAATATCTGAACATATCGAGCGAAGGACGAAAAAATATACTCCGTACGAAGATGCGCCTTGAAACGTCGATTTACGCGGTATTTTCAGATTTCGGGATAAGAACCCCACCCCGAGAAAAGTGCACCTTTGTGCAGGGGAAAATATTGTGATTTTTCCGGAAACGGACCATAGATACATGCAAAGTTCCATGTGAGATGTCCAACTTCGTGTAGGTGTTGCTCGACTTCTGTCACCTTTTCGATGCTCACGCAAGTATTGTACGCTCACGGCGGTATACGGGAGAGTGTGACACTTCTTGTCTACATGCGTTTGGAGTTGAACGTGTGACGAGTGCGCGTTGTCAGACATGGGACACGATACCGTCCAACCCGTTTTTTGGCGGCGATGAGACAAGCAAAGGGGTTTGACACGTTATCAGCGAGAAGCTTCTCTCAGGTTCAACAATGTTACCGATGGAAAGCTCAAATGGCCAATGTCGTGGCATTCTTCTCGTCCTGCTAACCGAAGTGACTTGGGAACAAGCGTACGTGATCTAGAAAACGTAAGGCTGCACGGGCCGAGGGGTAATACGCCAGCGCTTGGGCTATCTAATGTACACCAAGCTTGGGGTGTGCATGTGGGTTAGGGATGCAGTGAAAGAGAGGGTAGGGCCTACGTGCAGTGACCTGTGATGTACCTGCTGCTTTCGTTTGGCGTCTACCTCCTACGAGTTGGTTAGTACGCACGACAAGCTCTTCAGGTGCAACAGAGGCGGTGGCAGCCTCAAGCAACAGGCAGCTCTGTGTGGCATCCATCTCGCCCTGCTGACCGAACAGACATGTTCCCTGTCATCTCGGACGGTCCATATTGGTCGAGAATTGGTGAGGCTCAGAGCAAAGGACAGCACACATCCCGCGGCTTTGTCAGCCGTCAAAATCGCCGTATCTTCACGCAAGGGGACGACATGGACATGGTGAATGGCCAGGTCAGAACCAGAAGAAAAGTCAAGTCAAGCTTTCATATTAATGGAGCCCCAGCAAATGCCAAAAACACCCCTAAAAGATCATTTCGTGCGGGCGGTCCCCCTTCTTGAGAGAGAACTTCGCGTTGAGGTATGCCTTCAGCATCGGGTTCGTCATGGCCGCCAATACACCAGCGTCGACGGTCTTCTGGTCAGCCTTCCGCTTGTCGGAAACCGTGGAGCTCTGTCGACGTGGGCAAACAAATAAGGGACACACGACAAAGGACACACAGAGAGAAGCGGTCAAAGCCTCGCAAAAAACGCCCTCTCTCCGTAGAGCACCGTCACGTCGGTGGTACCGGAGAGAGGGCGCGTCGCCACCCGGGTACACAGCGACAGCATCTGCGGCGACAAAACACGCAGGTGAAGACTTTCGTAGCCAAAAGCAACCACCCGCCCGGAGTGCGCGAACGCAATGGCCACAACCTCACCCATCATGTTTTAATTTAAACAAGAGATACACTCCCTTAAGTACCACATTTGACGGCAAAAAATGCCTTGTTCTTGCCGTCAACGAAGTGCAGAGCATTCCATTATGCAAGTACCAAGCGATTGAACGTCTTGACCTTGCCCTCCCTGCACTAAACATTGAACTTTTAGGGTGAGAATTCCTAAGATCACCCAACGTCCGTGAAGGTCACCTACTTGAATGACGTCCACGTACGATAGGTGGCCCGATATAGTGGCATGTAGCGGCTAAAGGACATTATGCCACTGGTCAGGGCAGTGCCACTGAACGGCATAGCGGGAATATGCCGCCATTGACAGTGCATACTGAATATGCTTTGATGGGCACGCCACCGACCGCTGTGTATTTGCCTAGCAGCACTATCGAAATGACAACGCAGATCCTGCACATCCCCGGTGAAATGTTACTTGCTCGTCCAGGTGACAACGAGGTCTTCTGGGGCGTACAACCTACCGTTGTCTGCAGGTGGACTGCAAAACAATGTCCAAACGCACAGGATCAATTTTAGTTATTTTCTCGTAGGATGGAATTATGAAAAAGCTGTAAAAGCGAGACCAACTGGAGCGGCCGTATTGTAAACGTCGAGCACTCCCCGCCCCGTAGCACCAATCCCAACTGTGTAAACGCTCCGACGACCAATTGCCGAGTCGGTCCAGCGGCATGTGCTGCCAAGAGTGTAATCTTTGCCTTGCGGAGGAAATTCCTGGCCTCGACGATTGCACACGACTCTTCGTGTTGTTCTGCGGCACCAACAAGCATAGAAAATCTTCGGAATTGCCACTATTTGGGAGGATGAGATGCCCAAGATGCAAGCCACTTGATCGGGTTGAGATTGTGACAAAAGAGGTGTTGATGCCACAATATCGGGCCACCTACTGCAGCCGAAAGACATTGTATTTCGGGAGCCTGGGCGGACAACTGCTTCGTTTTTTTTTTGTGCCTGACGAGGCTCAACCTTGTGTCTATCGTACCATGAGGGTCGCCGCAGCACGCCAACTCGGCAGGCACGGCCCTATGTTACCTTGGCTCCCTGCTCGAAGAACTGGTCCTCGTCAGTCTTGGTCGCCACTTCCTCACGCGTGAAGTACGAGTCGTCCGCGGCGGGGATAGTGACCTTCGACACGTCCACCGACATGGATGTAGCAATCACGTACGCCTGGTTGACGCGCCTCATCGGCACACCGTTCACGGAGTACGGGCCTGCCATGCAGCAGAAATGGTTGTAGCGGGTAAGATACAAGTCAAACTTCTCGCACACACCCGTCAACAGTACGGGACACGGTCATTCTGATCTGTGAATGGGATTTGACCTGCAAAGACGCTTCGAAGGCAAGAATACATCATCCTTGATGTCCTAAATGATGGACGATTTTTATATGTTGTTGCATTCCCAAGTAAAATGCGTGGTTGTGCCGCCTTTTCCGGGCTGAACAACTTGCTGTGTAGCAGCAGCTACGGCCTAACATAAGATATTTCATCAGAAAATACGGGTTTAACAGAGGTGAACTGGCTTGGCACGGCCAACATCGATTCAACAGAAAAAACAACATTAAAGAGGTCTAACGCGTGATTTAGTTCCCAACATTTCACCAAAAGCGTACAACTGGTCCATATTGCCCGCAAACCAACAGATAAACCAGTGTGTTGAGCTAGCCCAAGGGGCGGACGCTATCTGCGTTGTGTGACGTGAACGATACACTCTCCAATCAACTCTTACGGCACAAACTGCTGTTGTTGCACGGCTGGGTCCATGTTTCACGGCCTTTCGTTTTGGCTCTGTGCAACATGGGTACTGCATACATTATGTTACAAGGTCTCCCTTAGGGACGTGGGTGTCTACAATCCCTCAGGTGAAGCAGTACCACATGCGGATTGCCCGAATGATGGCAGATTTTCGATGAAGCCAATTTGAAGCCGAAACAACACCACAAATGGGACATGTTCAACACTGCGGCTGGATGGATGCTCTCAGACTTGTCTACACTTGGCCCGCTGCGCGTAGGTACTGCTGTTGGACAGTGCGATGACACGAAGAGTCACAGCCAAGAATCATCGAATGAATGAAAGTGAAGAAGCAAGAGGCAAATATTTTTTTACCGTATTTGACGGGTTTAATAGGTTTCAGCGTTGGTTCGTCAGGCTTTGCCAGCGCGAAACGCATCGTCGGAGTTTTGGGACAGTTTTCGCAACTTTGACCGTCAACCACACGCGCCACAGAGGCGAGCTCCGGGCACGGGCATTTATGTACCGACGAGCCTCCTGGGTGTCTCTGAGAAAGAACTGCGAGAAAAGACTCGCTGCCGCGAGAAAAGAAATGCCGACGAATGAAAGGTAGCCAAAACCGTTCAAGTGAAGTGCCGATTCAACAGAGGAAAATTAGCTTGTCACGACCCAGTGCTAAACCGTAGCCGCTGCTGCTGTACTTCGTTACATTGGCTATTGTAAGCTGCTTGGTATTCTTGAGTGCCGACTGCCGTATGTACACCGAGGGAGCAACTTTTACTCGGACGCATCCGGATTCCTCCCTCCCCCCCACCTAAAAAGTACCAAGTACGTCTTGTGCGAGGTCTACGCCTTGTTCCGTGGGGGTGACTCTCGACATTGTGCATGCCTGTAGGCATTCTGCTCAACAGTCAGTGGTGGTATCAGTATAAAAAATCCAAGACCTAAACCCAACACTACAACACGGTAGCCCTCAGTTCTCATAAGCATTTTGCACTCATCGGCTTATCAACTGCCACACTCCTCGAGCTGCGCCATGATTCCAGGCACCCCCACATTGAGGCATGCGGGTCCCAAAGCCCAGCCGTCGATGCTGGCCAAGCCTAGCGCAAGGTTAGTTTACGTCATTGGGCTCGCACAAGTGTCTTTCCTGCGCAAATACCTGCATGTTGTACGCAGAATGTTCCCCCCTAGCTCCGAGCCAAATACTTACCTGTGACCAGCAGAGTTCCCGAAGGGAGCTGCTTGAGGAACACCACACGCTTGCCGCGGAAGCGCCCCGACAAGAGGATCAGGATCGTGCCAGGAGTTATGGTGCTCCGAAGCTTGGTCGGGTTGTGCTTCTGAGGAGCAGCCTTGGGCTTCACATCGTCACCCGAGTACCACTTGGGGGCTTTCGCCTGGGGCTGCGCAAGGAGAACATACCACGGTCAGTTCGGTGCAAGGCAACTTCGGGAGCTACCCTGGTGGTCAACCTGGTGGTCAAAATGTCAAAGGGTAAAACAGGCAGCATCTTTTGACTCGTCTGCCTGTTGGCGGCGGAACTTGTCATCGAGTGGCCAGGATATCGTCGACCGACGCCGCCACGCCCATGGCCCTCTCTGACTATTGACAATCACACATCTAACCCACAAAGGTGATTCACATGCTGATATACATGCTTTGCAATTTCTAGCTCACCGCCACAGCCTTGGTCATGATGCTGAGGCTCCTGGCCTGGGTCTTGAGGATTGTGTGGCAGCCGCGGGCAAGCGGCATCAGAGGCTCTTCACATAGGAATATTTACTACGAGGTAGGTACCGTTGTCATCGTGCCCCCAGGTGGCCACCCCCCCCCATCATTTATGATGTTTGGACAGGCTACATCGTCACCCACACAAGCCAAGCCACGCAGTCTCGCCTCCAGGCGAAGGACCGAGAACAGAGCTTGCACATCGCCTTTAGGGTCAACACGGGGGTTGTCACCATGCCTGTCGGTCACCGCCCAGGATCTCTCCGCCAGGCCAACAAGAAACACAAAGGCAACGCGGGGCACCAAAGTAAGCGGGCCTCCAAATCCGCTCTTGGAGCGGGACGAGTGGCAAACGAAAGGGGTGATCCCAAAGCCGGGGTGAAGAGAGCAGCAGAGGCACGAAAACAAAACCGCGCGAATCACACCGTCCAGATGCGCAAAAAGAAGCGGGAGGAAATCTGGCTGCAGAAGAGGCTAGGCTCGGAAGCCGGCCCTCCAAAGCTGTGTGTGTGGGTTTCGTTGTCCACGATAGCCACCCCTGACACCATTCAGCAAGGCGTTCTTGACCAGTGTGCCCGCACCAGTGGCGACCCCTCCACTGGAGTTGGCATGGTTAGCGCTGTCTTCCACCAGTTCAAGCAGCGTGTGACGTTCTTGACACCCGGGCGGGACCTGGCAGCGGTGCTGGAGTTCGCGAAGGTGGCTGATCTTCTCTTGGTGGTTCTTCCCGTCCAGCAGGGAGCGGACTCGGCTGTAGACGAGGTAACCTAAACAGCAGTACATCGTCTGCCTGTGTTTCCCCCGGACGATACACTCACGCCCCCTGGTCCTGCCCGCAAGGAGTGGACGACACAAAAGTAGAGGTGGTTGCTTCGGTGGTTGCCGGGTAGGTTTAGGGTTCACCCGCCCTCGTCGTTCGCTCTCAACAGGTCGACCGCGCGCTCGGCGGGTCGTACGTGTGTACCTCTTGGGTCCTCCTTCCCTTGCAAAGGCGTACAACAGTTTCCGTGGTTGATAACTTCAGACGCATGCACACGTCCTCATCTATGTCGATTGGGTACCTGTTTCATTGTGCCATTGTGCCAATCTACGCTGAAAACTCCAAAGCTTAGACAAACCGTACATACATGTGAGTTTTGTCCGAGGAAGTCACCGCATCTACCGCCGTCCGTCGCCCGAAAACTGTACCGGTAACTTCGCCCCCTGCCCACGTGGGACGTGAGTTCGAGTCTTGCACAAGTACTGGGGTGTTCTCGCGTGATGCCGAACCTAAATAATCGACTCGACTGAAGACGCGGCTGAGACCTTCTCGCGATAAAACGAGGGCAAGCACCGCAGAAGAGTAATGACAAACGTAGGGGTGGGGCCGGGGAGGGGGTGTCCTCTTATGTTTTGCAAGCCGTAGCGGTTACACCATTAACGCGCGTCCTCGAGAGGATGGAGCATTGCTGCCACAGGACCGATCACCGATGGCCAATTGTTTCTTCCTACTTAGCTAAAGGTGGCTCAAAAATGTCGTCCCTAGTCTTATGTATCCTATCGATACCACTTCCCGCCTTGTGAACCCACTTCCTTTGCTCTACTACAGCTACCGTCTTCTCCTGCCTATTGCATGCCTTCAACATCTCCCTCTACCTTCCTTCTACTTTTCTCAGCTCAAGCTCAGTCATGTACCTTTCCCTCTTCTTCTTGTACAACGAACTTCCGTATCTACATGAGCCCGATCTTCGCACTCGGAGCTGCAGTCGCATTTGAATTTCTCGTCTGGTATGTGGGGCCTTCCTTCTGTGTGACCTCGGTTGCTGCGTGAAAAACATCCCGAAGAGTGTGAAAACTGGCGTCCAGATTATAGAGGGGACGACAACGTGCATAGCACACGCACACGCACACACACGCCTAAACCGCGCTTGTTGTGAATCTGCTTCGTCTGTCCGGCAGGAGGGAGAAATGATGATCACAGCCCTCAAGGCGGCAGGTCTGCCTGCTGTAGTTGGAGTGGTGCAGGGTCTTGACGTTCTCAAGGGCAAAAGACAATCTGATATGAAGAAGTGGGGGCAGCGCTTTTTCGAGACCGAGTTCGCTGGCAAGGCGAAGGCAATAGACGCTTCCAACTCGAGTCTCTTGGCGCGCACACTCAGTACGACGGCGCCTCGGCGGATACACTGGCGGGCGATACGATCGTACCTCCTCGCGGACAGCACGGAGGTCGTAGCCGAGAGCGGGTCAAGGGGTGACAAGTTTGGCACGCTGCATGTCCGCGGATACATTCGTGGCCGGCCACTTGATGTCAATCAAGTGGTCCACGTCGGCGATGCTGGGCACTTCGGGTTGCGACAAATCAACAGCGCCGCTGAACCGTTCCCGGTGAAGCCGAAAGACCGCGGTGGAGGGGCTCTGAAGGGGGAAAGTGTAGCACCGAGCGCCGGGGTGGAAGTCTTGGCGAGGGCAGACCCTGGACGCAACGACCTCAGCGTTGAGGCTACCGTAGACAATCTAGCTGGCGAACAAACGTGGCCGACGGAGCAAGAACTGGCCCAAGCTGGAGGCGAGGAAGAAATGGACGGGATGGTGGACCAGAAAGTTAAGGGAAACGACGAAGGGAAGAGCGATGGTAAAGTATTACCTCAAGGCTGGTCTGGCTACCAAGCCGAGTGGCTTGAAGGTGCGGGCAGTGTAGATGGAGAGAACGAGGAGAGCAGTGATGAAGGGGAAGCATGGGCGTTCAACGACAAGGACGATGACGGCGACTCGGTAGATCCCATGGATGCCAGCCTTGACGCGGCCAGACGCCAGGTTTCCGAGAACGAGGACACTCGTTTCCCAGACGAGGTGGATACACCTGCGGATCGGTCAGCTCGCGAACGTTTTGCACGTTTTCGGGCGTTGAAGAGCTTCCGAACAAGCCCTTGGGACCCCAAGGAGAGCCTGCCTAAGGACTATGCGCGGATTTTTCAGGTGACAGCAGTAGTCCGCCTACGACATGAAACAGTTTGCCACCACCCACTGTCAGATCATTAGGTCATTTAGTGCCATTGGTAGAAGTGCATTGTATTTTACTGACAGTGAGAACTAAGGACAGTATCTGACGTCTCTCCTGTGCATGTGTGGTACTGCTGTATCAAAGAGTGCAAGGAGTCACTTGCGCAAGCTACATGTAGTCACCTCGGGGCTCCTGGGATCCATGAGCTTTGCTCCAATGAGTTAGGAAGCACCTGGACCGACACCTTTTCATGCACCCGAAGGCCCTCAACGCCGCAAAGTGGAAGACAAAACCTCACGATTTTGGTTCGAAATGTGTGGCATTCTACTTCCCTGTTGCTCGATATCCGCGCTAACGCATTTCACCATTGCGTGTACTTTTTCGTATGTCAGTTTGAGGATTTCCCTGCCATGCAGAAAGATGTCCTCCGTGCCGGTGAAGCGATGGAGCGCCAGCAAAACCAGAACCTGCTGGAGGTCAAAGAGGGCTCCGAGTTTGGAAGTCGACGGTCTTCGTTTCCTTCCTCTATGATTGGAACGTGTGGAGCCGGCATGGATGTCGACTCTGGGGCTGGTCAGGATCTTACTGACCCGTCCGGAGTACTTGCGGCTGATCAGGACCGCGAAAGCTACGTGCAGGCAGGGCAGTACGTCGAAGTCGTGATTGATTCCGTGCCTTTGGACGTTTTGGAGAAAAGGAAAAAGCTGCTTGGGGCCAGGGATTGGCCTTTGGTTATGTTCTCACTTTTACGGCATGAGCACCGCCTCAGTGCCCTGCACTTCAACATCAACCGCGACGCTCGCTTCGTCGAGCCTATCCCTTCGAAGGAACCTCTCGTTTTTCAGTGTGGGTTCCGGAGGTGGGAAGCCAGACCAGTATTCAGTCAAATCAACTTGAACTGTGACAAGCACAAGTACGAGCGATTTTTGCGACAGGATCGATTCTCAGCGGCAAGCGTGTACGGTCCGACCACGTTTCAACCATCTCCAGTGTTGGTTTTCAAGGAGGTGGCTGCGACGGGGAGCAACGCAAAACGGACAGTCTTGGTGGCGACAGGGACTCTCCTGGGCGTCGATCCGGACCGTATCGTACTCAAGAAGATAGTGCTGACAGGGTACCCGATTCGCGTCCGAAAGCGCAAAGCTGTGGTAAAGCACATGTTCCATAGACCCGGAGACGTAAAGTGGTTCAAGCCGGCAGAGTTGGTCACCAAGTACGGGCTCACGGGGCATATCAAGGAGCCCGTCGGAACGCATGGGCTAATGAAGGTCATTTTCAATAAGGCGGTCAAGCAAAATGACACCGTTTGTTTAAATCTGTACAAGCGGGTGTACCCTAAGATGGTCGCAGGAGAGGTGGTTGTGCGGTAGGGCGTGTGTGTGTCTCCCGGTTGTTCTGGGCGTTGTTTTCCAGACCCGTTTCGATTTTGGATGCCAACCGGGGCGACCATATAGGGAACCAAATGGTTTGCTTCTTTACGTTCCTCGTTCCTCCTGTTGTAGTTGCATCTGATTGTGTGTCGAGAATTTCTCAGCCGTTCATTTTCCGTCGTCGACCGTGGAGTAGATTTAGGTGCATGTACGTGAGAGTGTCGTCGTTGTCCGCACATTGTTAGGCATGATGTGAGAGATACCCCCAGCTGCTTTGTTTTCGCCTCGATTCGAGTAATGCTGCAAACGCAATAGGTTTTGAGGTTGTGGTCTGAATCAGTGGGGAAACCAGCTTATTTTACGATGAAAATGTAGTGCCCTTGAGTGATATCGGTAGTGCCTTAGGCTTGGTTCCCGTAACGACGCAGAAGGTCGTGTGCTTGCGCGAGTTGCCCATTTTGACGATCCTTGAACATTCTACTTCGCATAACGTCTGCTGACTTCACTCCACGTGACTCGGCATGGGATGTGCTACGAATTCATATTTGGTGGTTGCACTCTCGAGAAGTGCATCCTTGGCCACTTGTAACGAAAACAGATATGAATATTTGTCGATGCATTACCGGCTTCACAAACTCATGACTAATGTCGTGTATTGTCGCCATTCTGCGCTTTCTCTGAAAAGCCTCGGGAAAACACTGTTCGTGGTCAAAGAGGCGATTGTCTTGCCCAATCTACTCGATGCGAGAAGAAATTAGGGCGAGGCTAGAGGAAGGGCAAGATACATCCACGACACACCACCATAACTTTTCCGACACACGGGTAAATGTGGAAGCACACGTCACTGCACCGGGCAAAACGTACAATTTCGCTGCCCCTCCAGACACTTCCCACATAAATTATTCCCCCTTCAGTAGTATCAGCCCACACTCGTGTCCGCGAGGATCTCGAAAGTCACAAGGTGGCGCTCAAAACGGGAGGAAAGCTCAGTTGCTATTCGTCAGCCGCAACGGCCTCATTTTGTGCAGTGGCATCGGTTGCGCTGTCAGTTTCAATAGCACCCTCCTGGGTTGCTTCAGTGCCCATACGACCCAAGAACTCCATTTTCAACGCTGGTTCCAGCAGCCAGCCACCAGATGACTTTTGCGCTCCAGGGTGGTATTGCACCCGCACCACCTGTTGACGACAGACCACAAGAACGAACGCGTGTGAGATTGACACCCTTTCCGCTTTGACAGCAAGTGTAACTAGCAACCACAAACGGCGTCGGTCTGCTCTATGCATATTAATAGCGCTGTTGCCGGTTTAATCAAAACTTCAAACGCGTCGTACCTCTTTCTCTGAGCGACTCAGTAGTTCCTGGACGTGACCCCTATAGATGGCGGGCACCACTCCTTCGGTCTGCGTCGTTCGCTCGTAGTAATATAGCTGAGTGAGCTTGTGGAAGACCTTGTCTGCGCTCGCACGGTACAGATTTTGGAGCAGACCCACCACAAGCTTGTCGAGACTACACAGGACATAGCCCTGAATTTGAATTAGTCCCAAAAAATAGAACGGGGATGCAAACTGCAGTTAGAACTGGCTCATGGCGTCGCGAATTACAGGCGGGCATACAACAGGGAGGAGGGCAATGTGAGCCTCGCTGGTAGATGCAAGAACGCACTCGACCGCAATCCTTGTGGTGAAACTTCTCGCGTTTGATATGCATGCGTGTGCCACTTTGAACGAAATCTGGAGCACTTGGAGGATTCTTGCAACTAGGATGTCGCATCAACAACGGTCACGAAGTGTTTGAAATCAAAACACAACTACTGGCCTATTTGCTTGGTTAGAGACGTGTAGCACAACGCGCGTCCAGCTCTCGTCGGGTATAACCCTTTACATCGATTACGTCTTCGCTCATATCGGAGCGGTGTTTTCTCAAGCGCTCCATTGAAATCACCTAGGGTGCCAACAAGCCAGCATTTCGATCAGGGGTACCTGGGGCATTTCGGTGCACGAAACTCGCTTCGGTAGGAAACATGGTGTGATGTGCCTTTCGTGGCCATGATATAGATCGAACGTCGCGACAACAAAAAATTCGCAATCTTACCACCCACGTAAGTTGGGATGCCAAGCAACGGTAGGTCGCGATGGTACATTACACGGGCATAGTCTGTGTGAGTTCACCGTTTCAAAAAAAACACTGCATGGTTGTTCTACGTCTCTCTTTTGGCGGTTGACAGGTTTGGCTTACTGGTTCGCGACCTCTTCAACGCAAGGCAGGTGTCACACATCGTGGGACAAGTTTTGCTTTTCTCCCACACTTCTCTTCACACGGCACAATGTTTGGTATTTTTCACATCAGAGATAGAAAAAACCACCCGAGCGGAAAAATTCGCCCAACACCTCTCGCCGGTGCTGATACATGAGAAATATGCTTGTGCTCCGAGGGCGATCGCCAAAAAGCGTCACAATCACCTCTAGTACAAACACACGATATTTGAGTCGCCCAACAGCCAAGGACAACTCGCCTAATGGAGGGCCGATGGCCCAAGCCTGACCTCGGGGCGCCTGCGCCTTTCTCGCCAATTGTTTTGGGTACCCCACATTCAACGTTACCACGAAGCCCCACAAGAGACCCGCCGCGCTCTGCGCATAGCACAGCATAGGTATTTACAGCGTAGCACAGCATCCTTTCGGCCTAGTGAGCCGAGTTTATCGCGTATTTGCTTAAAAGTGATTGCCCTGGGTACACCTATCGTCTCCGGGATGTGTGTTTTGTCTTCTTTTCGCCCGATGTCGGCAAACAAGATTTTCTGTCAAGTTCAATGTTTCCTGTGTTATTCTGTTGAAAAGCCTGAAAAACCAAATCAAATCGCCCGCGGCCTATAAGCCGAAAGACAAACCCAATTGCGTGCACGTTGCGGGCTTCGCGTGTCCACGCACCTGGTTTCCCACTAGCTGCCGCACACCCTCTTCGTAACGCTCCGTGTTGATCTTCTCCTCCAGCAAATCGTACAGGTGCCCAAGGAATGTCTTGTACCCCATTTCCTCCTTGTCTCCATTGGCTGCATGCATGCCGGTGCCGGTGACACCCGCACTCGCTCGCAGGACCTGCTCGGGTAGGCATGACGGACATCGTTGGAGACTGCGCGTCCAAGGATACCATTCCCGCATTCAGTTGCATGTGCGTGCCGAAGTTCGCCACAGTATTGAAAGTCGCTGACACAGATGCTAGCATCACCAGCAGAAAACGTTTCACTACTAATAATGTGCACAAGAACTCGTTTCCGTCCAAGTGACAAGGAAGCCGATACCGACTGCCGAGCACAGGGGATCACCCGTGTCCGAACCAGATGCTGCGAGCCTCTCACGTGTAGTTCACAGGTACACTCATCTCGAGGTGTTTCAACCAATACTGTTCACATCTTGTGACACAAGAAGTTTCAACAAAAAATGCAAAACGCAGGACTGGCAGAACAAAGCAAGTGATTTTTCACAGCCAGCTTTCCGCAACGTGTAGTCAGAGACGTTGGAACCATGACAGTTATCCAAATGTTTTCCGCTCCTTCAGGGAACGCCCATCCCCGACTTTGCACGCGAAATAAGCTTGAACATGAGCGCACAGGCCCCGGACAAGCCAGTGAGGGAGCCATGGAGATGGGAATAACATCTAGGACTACCAGTGTTTCAAAACCTATTAGCCCCTTTTGGCAATAGCGGTTTGCCGTTTTAAGATGCCAGCTACCTCGGCGAGCTTAATGGTACAAACCACCTACCTCTTGGGGGGAGGCCACCACAGTCTGGCGTGACAGCCCTGCTTCGCTGCACAGTTTTTTCGCTTCAGCGAGTCTCTCCGCGAGTAAGTGGTGCATACGTAGCACCAGATAGAAGTCGGTTGTCGTGAACATCACCTCTTGCCCCTGGGGGAGGGGGGTGGACGAGGCACGGCCTTCAGAGTCTTTCGCAGGAACACACCCTTGGGGATCCGGGGTTAGAGCTGTTCTTTCGTCTGTGACACTCTGGGGGCTACGTCGACGATCCCCCTTCCTTTCATCGCCGCTGCTCTGGCTGTTCTCGTCATCGCTGTCATCGTCCGAGCTCAAGACGGGCAGGGTCGCGACCACCTGTACCACGCACAAGACATACGGGCGCGTGTATTTCAGGGAACAACGGACGCACTCGGCACTGCACACCTTCGCTTCAACGACTCTCGTCAAGAACAGCAGTACCGATTGTATCGCGAATATCTGTGCTTGAATTCCGGTCGGGCACTAGCTAGTATCGACCCAGGGTGAATCAGCTTAATGTTTAATCAATAGAGAAGGCGACACTCCAACTTCTCCTAAATAGACCTTACCTGGGCACTGCCTTCGTTTCCATCCAACGCCGTGCTCCCCTCTCCATTTGCCGCTTGATTGGATCTTCCGAGAGAAAAGAAGGCCGGCAGCAAGTCTGCCACTGTTGTAGAAGCTTGTCGAACGTCGTCTTCCGATGGAGGGCGACGCGCAAGAGTGTACGTCAGAAGCTCCATGATGTCCTTGTGGATACCAGGCGTTCCTTCTTGTGGATACGTTAGCGTCAAGTGGGCGAACATGTACCACGGAGAGGTCTGTTCTGCCTGCTGCCTCAATACCCGGATACCCTCCTTGCTTGGTGGCCGACTGCCCGTCGTCGCTGTATCGTCGCTCTTCACAGGCAACGTGCCTGGGCTGTCCGTCGCCGTAGCAGCAGCACTTCCATCCAGCGCCGCCGTGTCAGTTTCTCCCGTACTGCCCTGGCCGTTAATACTGTCGCCGTCCGCAGCGGTCGAAGTAGGGGATACCCGCCCAAGCATTAGCACGTCATTTTGGGCACTGTGAACCTTCTCTCGGGCAGCCTTGACGACCGCGGCCTTCTGAGGGTCCTCGTCTACTTTCCTATCCTTGATTTCCTGAAGCAGAGCCCGGTTAGACGTATGGCGCTTGTCTTCGCGGCGAAAGTTGTACGACCGGTGGTCAAGACTCCTGTGGAAATGTTTCTGGGCAAGTTCCTTCCAGCCACCCTTAGCTTCTTCCCGCGCCACGCACCACTCCTCTTCCTTTAGCCTTAACCTCTTCAACACCACCGGAATCGCTACTGCTGGGTTCTTGCGCAACAGGTCGACAACTTCGGGCCCGTGATCTCCGTAGAGCCGAGATATTGTGCTGAGATGTAGCGCTCCGAGCGTGCGCCTGTCTAAGCGGTACTGGAATTGCGGCAACACTACATCACCGCCGTCTGGCCCACCTATCGATGAAGCCCCTTCCCGACTAGTCGCTGCGGGGGCCGCATTTTGCCCGAGAGCAGACCCCGCCGTGGCTCTCAACGCCTCGATCTCTTCTTCTGCCGGTTCAAGCCGAGCAATCGCCGAAGCTACACCGTCTATCAGCATGTCCAACTCGAAGCGCTCATCTTCAACCTTGAAAAGCTGCTCCTCGTTCGGGTTGCGCCGCATGTGTTTGAAGTTGCCGCTGTCTTCACTCCCGACAGGAACACTGACCCACGTGTCGTTCAGCACTGCGTCCTCGTTTGTACTCCGTCCGCTGCACGAGGTGACCTGATAATCTTGGGGTAGCTCGCGGTAGCTCGGAGTACACATCTTGGCGCTCTGGAAGTTGATCTCTGAGAGCCCCAAAGGGGGCATAGCGTCTCTGGGGGGTGGTTCCAACTTCCCCCGCCGGTAGACAAGATCTTTGAACTCGTCCATCAGGTCAAATCCGTCGTGGGCCTCGAACAGATCCTGTACCATATCCAGCAGTTCGTCCCGCCCCAAAATTTCGTTGCTGAACAAGTCGAGACACTTGAGGAACTCCGTCCAATCAGTGTCGTCTCCGCTCGACGACAGTACATCACGTGCTTGATCAAACAACTGGTTGGCGGGAGAGGTTTTGATGGTGGTCCCTTGCGAGTCCATTGACGACCACCCTCGACCCCCAGCCCCACCAGCTTCATCCGATTCTCGCGTGCGCTTTTTGGGCCCTTTGAAAACACCGTCGGGGCCAAGCTCGTAATCTTCAGCTTGAGACCACACTTGGCGCCCCTTCCGGGCTTGCCTTCCACCGCGCTGAGTTTGCATGTGGTTGTTTCCAGCGTACGGGTTCCGGTCAGGTTCACTACCGGTCCCGCCGTTTGAATACTGCGGGCGTGACCCGTACCCACCATGATAGCCACGCTGGGTGTTGGTCCGACCCCGGCCGTAAGCGCGCTGCTCGCGCCACTCTTGGTCGTCGTCGTCACTCCTGTATGTCGAGCTACTTCCCCCCAGCATTCGTTGCTGTGTGCGATGCCCGCGCGACTGACCCCGGGACGAATTTGCAGGCCTGGATCTGCCATCGAGCCTGCCACGCTGGGATCCACCTTGAGGAGCGTGCGTAGTAAGGCGCTGCCCGCGCTGCCCGTTCAGCGCACGGCCCAGCCTAACTTCGGCTTCCACGGCAGCTCTATCAAGCCTCTCCTTCGCCTGCGCCTGGACAGTGTCCGGGAGAAAGTAGGTGAACTCCCTCAGCAGATCGGGTTCGTCGGCGAACAGGTCGGTGATCTGCTCCAGCACATGATTGATACCTGAGTGCGTATCTGTAACGCGAAGCATGCCCCATGGGAAGTGGAAAAGAGCAGAACAGGGTGTCAGCTCTTCTGCAATCTCACCAAGAGAAACAAAGGTATCCGCAATCATGCAGAGGCTGACGTTGCCGGGGGGGAACCACATGGGCACGCAAGACAGGGCGACGGCGAACGGCGGCCGAGTAGGCACATGCACATGCATGGGCAGGCGTAGTAGACGTCTGGGTCTACCGCCACAATTCAAACCAATACTTCTGTGTGCATGTCGGCCGGATGAGCACAATGAGCTTCTACATGTTTGTTCACCGCCTGCATGAAGAGTACAGAATCAGCCGCATGCTTCCCGCCCCAGTTACGTGATGAAAAGTTGCAAAACCGGGTTACGGTCCAGTGATGAGCAAACCCTACTTCTTTGAGTGCAGCGAACTACAAACCAGCAACTACATGGTCGCAAATTTGGCATGACCGTTGCTCTCACCTTGTGGCTCTCGTTGGTACGTGTGCAGAATTTCAAGGAAGGCCTTGTATGTCCCAACGTCGTCGGAAAAACGTCTCTTGATCGTCGTTACATAGTGAATGGCATGGTCGAACTCCATCGCCCTTTCCTCGAGGTCGCTTTCTTCCCCAGATTGTACAGACATCACCGATCTATCGCCATCACCTGCAGCATGCCCTGGGGCTGCGCCTCCGGCATTTTCTGTGTCGACAGTGGACAGAACAGAGAGACAAGGCGGCGTCTGTGATGCGTACCTTTACTACAAACAGAACAACCTAGTATGGGATTCTTGATTTGCATGCTAATGCCCAGAAAATTCAGACTTTCAGCAGCGGGCTAATACGCTAGTTCCTGATGCAGTAGCGAAAGCAGCAGTCCCAATTGGACGTAGTGCAGTAACAAACACGATCAATCTTTCCCCGAGAAGATTTCGCGTACGCCCACCAACTGGAATGGGCTTTGTGTGCAACCAACAGCCTATTTACTTTACCAGATAACTACCTGTCATGCGTGCAAAGGAGGTGGACTGCTGGTGTTACTTGTAGAAGCAGCTTATCTGTTTTTACCTGCGCGGGTAGGGATGTGAATGTGAGCACCTTCCTTTGCCGCGCATTCTTCGTCCTCCAGACGCTGTATGTCGTCAGGTTCCATCTTGAATCCCTCCGGCAAAAACCTATTGAAGCGCAGAACAAGCGAATTTCGCCCCCGAAATAGTCTCGCGACCTCGACGAATACGTCTGGAGGTAGCATTTGCTTGGTCTTGAACCGCCCCATGATCGCCAAGAACTCATCGTAGATCTCAGGCTGGTGGCGAAACTCGAGCTTCACGGCATCCAGGTAGTCCATGGCATCGTTCACAGTGAGCCAACCACCATTCCCTTGACTTAATTAACAGAACAAGGATGAAGGACCGAGGATAAGCGAAGAGTGAGTCTCGACGGCACCGCACGGAGTACAATGGTACGGGTTTTTGATTATCCCTTGATCGAACAGCGGTGCTAGCGAGGATGGTACACATACTTTATTTACTCTGTGACACACGCAATTAGTCGGTCTTGTGATGCGGCCCAACTTTATCTCTTGCCATTGGCCTTTCTACGCCCAGCCCGCACAGAGCACATTGTCGTAGCGTACCGGCCGCAAGTCCCGTATATTCAATAGGTTCAGGTTTCACTGCATGGGGGTGCATCTTCGACCGTGCGTACCATTGGCGGGAGTCCTGAGCTCCGGCCCGAGCGCCAACGGCTACTTGAGAAGCCCCTGCCGCTGGCGGAGTGGCATGGCTACCATGGTCATCCGCCATTGTTCACTCGGCCACAGAGAAGCTGGTGGTTCGCGCCAGACTTCCCTACGTTCAGCTCTTGTGTATCTCTTCCTGAAATCTCGGTCCGCCTGTCTGTGCTGTCTCTGGTTTGTAGCTGTACTTGTACCATGTGGTACCACATCTGATCAGCCTGACCCTCCTCGGCAACTCTTAGGGGGGACCGCGGACTGCACATTAACATGATTTTTCTCGCGGGGGGTGGCTTGCCTCCCTATGCTGACATGCTGACTCTCACTGCTCCTGTTTTACGTTTCTGGTGGTTTTACTGCGGTAGACTACACCTACCTGTGAAGTTATCAAGTTGCCCTGTGCCTCTCCGGATGATGCGGGAACTCGCTCCCGTTGATGAGTAGTATTCTCAAGACGCTCTACTTGCTTGTAGTCGGGTCCAAGCTGCGCTGTATGTACTAACTACAGCAGTGCAGTCTCCTCTGCATACAACGTGGATGTTGTGTACAATCAATTAGTCTGCACTGCTGTAGTAGGCTGTACTGCTGTAGCGGGCCCTCAACAACTACTGCGTTACGATAGTAGCACTGCCGGGAGATTCGCCGGGCACAACCGGCGGTATTCATTAGGGGCCCACATGGCCTACTGCTGAAACGTAACTACATAGTTTACGTACAGACGTAACAGCGTAACGGAGAAGTTGATGCGTACTTCTTCTTCAGTCTAATACTAAGAATATCTTATTTGGGTTTCTTTATTGGGTTTTGATGAGGGTAATAATGTGTACACTCCTCGGACGATGACATCACGTAAATGACCAACACGTTGAGAAAATACGTTCTGTCTCGCTCGCAATGAGAATCTGCAGCGTCTCAACGATGAGCACAGGCTTAGTCTAGAGTGCCCTACTGCCATTGGGTTTATTGTAGGAAGTAACGGGGGGGCCGAGCCGACAGACACCACGCAATTAATTCATTACCTGACAGGATATCAAGTTACGATGAAGAAGTGCAGATGATGATCCAACGAGCCTCTCGATAGGCAGCTGTTAATGTGGGCCGGCACTGCTGCTGCTGTGTTTCAGTATCTGTAGGAGAGATACTCCAAACAAGCTCCCAGACAGCAGCCAGACGTCGCAGGCGACATGTCGGACAAAGCTATATGAAGGAAAGAGCCCATCATTCCAAGGAAATACATACAAACATGCATACGCAAGGCGACAAAAAACGCAAAATAATAAAGAAATCCTTGAAAGTTACATCGCATACAAGTGATTTTTGCTGTATTCAATCGTTTGACAAATTAAGCCACCGGACAATCCACAGGCAACACAGGAGAGAAGGTGACGGCTGGTCGAAAGTATGTTTTGTGATGTCTGTATCTATCTGGCCTACTTGCTATACGGCCCAAATCAGGGTCTAATATACGCTGCCTTGCGGTAATCTTGGCCAAACCTTTTTTCCGTGCTTCTACACTACTACTCCGTACACTCGTGCTTCTAAACAAACTCAGGCGGTGTTGCTCCACTCAGTTTTTGTCCTGCCGATGAAGAAAATCATTCAAGGCCCGCTGGAAGTCTACGATGGTGCATGTTTCCTCCCCGTTGACGACTTCGTGTTGTTCGCTCCCCACAGCATTTTCCCAAATCGATTGGAAGACCTGTAGGATGGACGTTGTCATGGAGCGCACGAATCAGTCTTATTACGAAAAAATAACACGACCGCACCACCACCAACAACCCGTGCGGTTAGTTTTCAAAGGAAGACGGTGCACACCCTGGTCAACAACACTATTATTCCATCTCACCTCAGCCGAGAAGCGTTGGCCAATTGATTCGAACAGAGCGCGGAGTTCAACTTTGCCACGATTAACGAAGAATTCGGAGTCTTCAATTCCGAACTGGCTGAACTGACTGGGATTTACCAGATACCTGTTTTTTCAATGCAAAGGTTGCATGTTCATGACATGACAGTAACTTACAACCAACCGCGTCTCGTGGAAACGAGCGACTATGGGGGCAGACTCTATCGCCGTGTACCCATGAACTACGTGAACTTCTTGTCATCAGTAAGCCACGATTGATTCTGAGTACCAGCAGTGAACCGATTCCGTTCTCTTGGTGTGCTCTTGATACAATTGACCCGACTAAACTTGAGTACCAAAGCAGGCGTGCGGAAAAACGATGAAGAAAGGTAATGGAACCAAAACGACGTCCTCTGCTACGTTTTACAGCGCTGATTCGGGGGGTGCGGGGAGCAATGGACGTAGCGTAGTAAAAGCTGCCGACCTTGATTTCGTGGTGAACAAGGTTTTCCGACTTGCCTGGCACTGGAGTCGTCTCCATAGTTCTGAGTATCAGCCACCGAGCGCTGTGCATAAGGCTGGATGTCCGAGCGGATGCTTGGGACCCCAAATGCTCGCCCTTCTGCAATAGCGTTGCGGAAACCAGGCGTTATAGACTTGCCTAGATCGTTGTCTGGTTGTTGTTCTGCCCAGCTGTAGTTGCCTTCCACGCAGCGTTTCGCATCCCATTCGTTTGGCCCGCGCTTGATCGCTTCTTTGCCGTACACATGCTGCGTCGCCAAACATCACAGCACATCACAATGCTGGGTTTTTGCCCTATAGACTAGTAAGAGCCTCTATCTAGCGAAATAAAGCTGGCAAAGATATGTTGCACCAGAAAAGGTTCAAGGCACCAAGGTGAAACTCTTCGCAAAATCAGTTCATGACAGTACGGCAGAGTCGAGAGCTTAGCTCTGCTGTTCGGATACTCGAAATACCTTCCCAAGGTGGTTCCGAGGGTCATGGCCGAGGTTTTTGGCACGTCCAATAGCGTCCTGCGTCTCCCTGAAGTCGTCTAGCTTCTTCGACACGAGCCTGCTGGGTTCACTTCCGCTGTCCAGACAAAGAGGAGATGCGAGACTTCCAGGACGGCCAAATCGATGGTTCTCGATATCCACGTCCCAGATGTAACCGCGCCGACGTTGTTCCCCGGGTCCACATCGAGCGCCGCTTTCCTTGTTGCGAAGTGTCCATGTGGCAAGAAGGGCGATAGTGTTAATCCCAAGACAGGGCAGGACTTCACAAAACACACATTTTCCGTCGTCTTGAAGCTCGTCGTTGTGGTGGCTGTTTGGTAACATCTCGAGGGCTGTGGGCATTCTTTCTCCTCATGCATGAATGCAACTGGATCATCGAACAGCAGGCAGGAGGAGTCCTAAACTGTAGTCGCTCACAGATGATCATGTCTTTAGTAGAATGCTGACCGCACAAACGGGTTCGTTGTCGGTTCCTCTCGTGTCAACCCTAAGGTCCTCGCAATCTCGAGTGCTCCCGCAGCATGACTGACACCCCTTCCTCCGCCGCATCATGACGGAATGCAGCGAGGTGAAGAATGTAACAACGTGATCCGGAGGATAACCAACTTCCAGCACCCCAAGACTTCCAGCACCCCAAGACTTCCAGCACCCCAAGACATCCCGCGAAGAATCAAGGTTACGCTTGACTGCTGTATCACTACCTGTTGTGGTCAGTGGTATGCAATACAAACGGTACCACATGCTAGCTCATTTGCCCGTCTACCTTGTCAAACCCAGCGGCTATGCTTTGGGGATTACATCGATATACCTCCATGTCCAAGGCTGATGGGTGTGGGTAAAGCAAAGACTTGGCAGCCTCACTCTTGTCTGAGGAAACCCCGAACGTGAACGCATCGCTTTTGACCTGTTTCAGGGGCAACGGTGGTGGGAGTTGAATGTGCACTGCGAGTTTTAACCTCTTTAAAATTGGGTCACCAGAGAAGGAAATATTTCATTCCAGGAGATACGCTTCAAACTAACAATGCGGCCTACACTGGCATCTTGAGTTGAAAGGGGGTCCGCACCAACCAATAAACTGGCATGGACAGGGAGTGTATAACGCGCCCAATCAACTCGTACAACCGCGGAGCGACTTGCTGAAAAAACAGGCAAGGACGTCGTACCTTCGGTGGTAGCTGATGCCCTCGTTGGTAGCCTTTGCCTAAGGGTTCTCGCTTGGTGCTGCGATACACAGACTCGGCGAGTGCGAGCTTTAGCCGATTTACGTCCGTGTCCGCACCGGGCTGTCGTACAGAGACGGCAAAGTAATGGGTTTTGACATTGTTCTCCGCTATTGTGAGGTGCTCGATGTATTCTTTTGCCTGGGGTTAATTTGTTAATTTGCTATGCTCGCGGTGTCTTGACATTAAAAACGTTCCGAGCTCTGCTCACATCTTCGTATCCATTCTGGTCCAACTGACAAAACACAATGTTAGTCTACAGAAAGTCTCCAAACAGTCAGACTTGGCAGCAGGAGATATACATGTAAATGTGCCGGACAAACGAGTCGACCAACTCCCGGCAGAGTCCACGGATCCCAATCACAGAGCCCACAGGTCCCACTCGACACGCGCGACCAAGCAAAATAAAAAAACACAAAGAATGAAAGGCCACCCATCAAGATATTCTGACCTCTCCCCCCTACTACTGCTGTACTGCTGTAGGCCTGGGTGCATTCGCCACCGGATTTCATCAGCTGTCTATGCCATTTCCCCCCACAAAACTTACCAGCAAATGTTCAAATACAACTGTAGGGGCTCAAATCAAGTCACTCCTGAATACGGCAATACTGCTGTCGTAGTCTCCAGAAACATGCGCTCCAAAAACCAGAACAGCATCGAGCACTGTTGTCTACTCCACATCGGGGGAAGGGCGTATACTGCTAAATGCAGCAGATACTTGGATTACAGAAATGTGTACGACAATAATTTATGTAAATGTTCATGTTTAGGGCGATCTGCTACGTGCTGTAGTCACCATCCCATACCTGAATCCAGATGTCCGCAACGTGGTCACTTGCTTTCACTCCCCCGCTCCCGAAGGATATTTTGGGGTCGACATCTTGAGCGTCGCCAATCTGGCCAGGATGGAGAACACGCTGGCCGGGAGGCGACGTGCCAGAACGGCGCCACCTGCGTATTGCGTCCGGTGTCCCTAGCCTTTGCTCCTCTCTAACGCAGCTGGCTACGCCCCCCTCATTACGGTCGTAAACAATCCCTGCACGCGGTGGCATCATCGTCGTCTTGTTCTTCACGAGAAATGTCTGCACTGATCACTCGCATGAACCCAAACTCCGGCAGCGGTACACATGCATGCACGTATGCACGTATGCATTTACGCATTTGATGCGAAACAAATGTAACCGCCGATGCGGCGTGATCGACTAAAGGATATGTTGACAATTATTTGATATTTTGAACTTTTCGCGAATTATTGTCAAAGCAGACCTACAGGTGAGCTCACACCCTGCACCAGCAAGGCAGGCTGCAGTGCGGACGGGGGTTAACTCACCATTTTCATCATGACTACCCGAACAAGGGCACCGCCGCGGATGACGGCTGCATACGTGGATCAGGTGCAGATCTTTTGCAAGAGGGATGGGCGGTTGGGCCGCACGCACTCTCCTGCTCCCTGACATATGCTGTAACTCTGTAGCGAAGCAGCAGTGTAGCTCAGCAGACCTACCTTTTACAGCTAACATCAGTAGATACCTTGTACAGTCTTCCTATCTTGTACAGCTAGCATCAGCAGGTGCATTGCACAATTGACGTCCATGCTCTAAGGGCATGTGTGCAGCAGCATGTACAAGTGCATCCGAGTTTTCAAGAAATCCTGACGTTCCTTTTCCTCTGTCTCCATGCCCACCTTCGAAAACATCATGTAGTGCTGCTGGAGGTTCAGGGATGATTTATCCGTTGTAGAGGCTATCGGGCGGATTATATTGCTATTGGCAGCTGTCATGAGTTTATCGAGCATCCGCCTGTCTCATGTCTGCGAACAAGAGCACCTCTAACTCTGTACGCAGCGCTCACCTGTGTACCCAGTTGCCGATATACCGACATGACCCCCGCTGACCCATCAATCGGCAGATGATGACACAACGACGAGCGGAGGAGCTGTATCAGAACGAATTGGCCAAATACAACGAGGAAAACTCAATGCTCACACACGCCGCGAACAACGAGCGAAGGTACGGCGCGGTTGCTAACGCATCAGTGTGCATGCGAACGCCGTGAATTGAAATGGACGATACGGAAACCTGTAGAGAATTGGCTTGTAGGTCCACATCACTCCTGTAATTGATATGTTCACCATGGCATGTAGATGTTAAGGCACTGAAAGACCCGCCGCCCCCAGTGTGCAACGGGGCCCGAATCGCAAGGTGGAAGACCAATGACAATGGAGTAGCAGGCTGAGAAGAAAGCGGTGACTAACAACGGCTACAAGAAGTTTTAACGAACATGACCGGGATGGAAAAAGGCCGATGTGCGCGAGTCGATGGTCATGATCATCAGGCAGTACAGTCAGTAATAAACCCTGATGGACTGACGAGCACATGCAATGCAGAGTGAAAAGTTTGGTTGTTGGAACGGTGCGAACGTTATACATTGTGCACTCATTTGTACACGGTGACCACTTCCTATTTTCAGAGGTGAACCAATAGCGTTTACACGATTCTGCCTATCAAAACGTGAATTTGAAGTGTAGAAGTATAAAACAGGCAACGGAAGATTGGCAGCATTCATGATGGAAAATGCAAGGAGAGACTCCAGAGCAGCCCTACGAAACGAGCATCGGCCCCATCGAATGAATACCGTGCGCTTCTTCCCTTCGCTTCACACACTTCCCACACTGCACCAAATACAGCAGCTCAACTCTCCGTTGCCTTCCATGGCTTTTTACTTTGTACTGTGGACTCCTTTGCACCACATATTCATGCACGGCCGCTATTTTCCGACGTAGGCAACAACCCCTATGATATAAACTATTGATGCTCCCGTATCGATATCGATGAACTAATTGAATCTTCTATCGCAACCTACTCGGTACACTATTCTGCCGTTGTTTTCTTGCGCTATGTATCCATATTTTCACGAAGACTCCAACGACAGCACCGCAACCCTCCCTCGAACTCCACATTTGGTACGATCCTGCCAGTCTATATGTGAAGTTTCAAGTGCAAAGCAGAAACCCTAAAGGATAAATAGACCACAAGCATAGGCGACAATGCAAAGAGATACTCGGTAGCAGTCCCAGGAAACGAGCATTGGCCCCACCGAGTGAATATCGTGTCTTCTTCCAGCGCGATTTACACATTCCTCACAAGAGTACAAAATACACTACGCCACCCTTCCATTGACTTCCAGCCTATTGGTAACGATTGCATTTTTTTACTCTTTTGCACACATATTCGTGCACGGCCGCTAATTCCGACGTTGAAAATCCCGATGATATTAATTACAGATGTTACCGTATCACTCCCGTTGTACTAATTGAATCCTCTACCCGTATATATGTTGCCGTTGATCGGGACTCTGTTTTTGGAGCGGATGGCGCGCTACCCCTCAATGACAGCCACTTTGTTGCGGGCATAAAACGTGCGGTTCTGGTCCTGCTTGCGAAGTCGCCGTCGGTGTGCTGTGGTCCATCGTACATTGGTAACCATGGACGCATTGGTATAACACATTACCGATGTAGAAGCTGTGCTCAAGTGTCGTTGGCGGTGGGAGTGACGATGTACAAAGCTGTGCGCAGGTGTCACCACAGTAGTCTACGCAGCAAAGCTGATTAAACAAACATATGGGATAAAGTATTCAATCCGTGCTTTGGGGTTAGCTTTGGGGTTAGGGTTTGGGTTAGGGATAGGGTCTGCGTGACCCCTCCCTATTATTTTTCTAGGTACTCTTAAAATCCTGCGTAGGCGGTCCTGTCACCAAAAGTCGTCAGCCGTGGGCATGAATGTTGGCGAGGCGGAAGTGCGTTTCTGACGTGTGTGTGTGCAGTCGGGTCGACAAGCAATCGTTACAAACGTGGTCTGCACACGAAATCCCGAAAGTTACATGAGGTTCCCCTTCGCAGAGACAGACACCGAATCTGCTCCACCTGTGTACGTACAGCAGTGTGTGCATGATTGATATCCTCACTACATTACTTATTTGTCTTTGCTGTTTACGTCCCGGAAACAGACCTAATCCCTGCTGCTGCTGCGCTGTTGTACATGCTACCCCACACGGGTTGTTTCAATCGTTTGGCGCACAGGCAGACATCCATTCTCTCATGTTGTGTGCCCGCTTACACGTGTGTGTGTGACACTAATGTGTCTGAGGTAATCCACGGAGGTGATGTTGCAACCATGTCCAATTGCTGTGTACATCGTGGTGCATGTTGTTAAGCATTGATCTTGCTTGACAACATAAGGACATACATACGTGCATCCCGCCGCTGTACATTATGTTTGTCGGGAATATTCACTTGCCACCATCCCATCACGACCAATGCTTGAGTCTGTCTAGATTTGATCACTCTATTGTTTTCGTGGCTGGGGTCAACCCCAAGGTAATCGAGCGATCGAACCCGGCTTGACACGTCGAAGAAACAAGCACTTGCAAAGCTTGTAGGTTAATAACGGAATGTCACATTCCTTCAAATATGTCAATTAGGTTGATTAGTAGATGTACGTCGTCGTACGGACGCCCTGAAATATTTGTTTGTCTCAGCACACCCTGTGTTGAACTTGGACTAAAGAGGCGTGATTCTGCAGTACAGCAGTGTGTGGACAGGTATGTACTGTCCCAACGTCCACGAGTAACAAAGAATGCTGCAAACAAAGGAAGACGTGGCTATTATTTCAGCGATCTATGTGAAAACTGATGGTAATTTACGTCCTGAATCAAGCAAAAAAGGTCACACACCCAGAGCAGTAAAATTGAATGAGAGGTCTAGGCATGAAATCTGTACAGCAGTAGAGGACACGAAACACTGTACGCATTCAGACGTCCAGTAGCTTGCGCGCTGTTCCTTTATGCCATAAACTTCGGTCGTGAACGGTTCTCACGTTCATTTGACATGTTGGCCATGGCACTCTGCGATGATGAGATTTTCACTGTAGGAATCTAGTACGACACCGAGGAATGATTGTGCTCATGTAGATGAAGTTCTTGTCATCCGTTTCTATTGGCACCGCAAGTATATCACTTTGAGCGACATACGTGGCTCGAAAAGAGCGTAGGTGGTTGGTCGTGCCCTTCGAGGCTATTTCACGCCTACCCTACAATACTGTTGTAACACTCACTGGATCCACCCGTCGCGTGCATCGTTTGACGTAGGCTCGCTTTTCAACGCCGCGCCAATGCCACGGCTCAGATCGAAACTGAAGAAGCGATTCAGGCCCAGCGAAAACAGCAAGTGGTAAGCTGATGTTTGCCATGTTACTGCCCCGTTGATAAGGAGACAATATTCACCAAGCACCAGCCAAGTACTTCAGGGTCCGGTACAAGTACCAGTATGGATGGTATTCTTTGCGAAGGAAATGCTTCATTTGTACAGTCTTCATATTTTCCGCAGTGGAATGCGCAAACGTAGAGGGAACACCCTGACGGGCGCCCAATAAGGGCATGCACTTCTGTACCTTGTTCATCCTCCAAGCACCGTTTTCGAGAGTAGAAAAAGCCCAACTGTCCGGGGTTGGCTTGCAAATTTGCCACTTCCTTGGGGCAGTGCCTGTGTCATCTCATTTGATCCTACCTTGTGCGCTACTTTGTTCTTGACTACAAATGCAAAGTTTCATACACATGCTCTCGCTGGGCTTGCTAGTTGACACAATGCTGCTGTATCCGGTCTGTTTGATCTGTTTGATGTGGAATTGTTTTCCAGGCGATGGAGCGCAGAAAGGAACGCATGTCGCAACAAAATCAAAGCATTGCCGAGGAGCTGCAGAAACGGAGGGCCGCAAAGACTAGGGAAGAGGTGGAGGTGAGCTGGGGATGGCTGGGTATTGACCTTCACCAAAACTGATTGATTATTTGCTTTCATCCTGGCAGAACTGGCTTGTTTATTGATGGGGTTCGCCATTCTCTTGGCCTCGAATTTCGGCCTTGCTTTTCTATTTGAACTGGAGCCATGTGTGGTCACGGCCGGTGTATATCCTAGTAATATAGTGCAATTTCGCTACCCTGTCTATCACTTGTAAGTCCGCAACATACGGCAAAGTCCCAATATATCTGTACTCTTGTGTGGTGCTGCCTTTCCTGACTGTCCTCGAACCCCCCGCCCAAACGTTGCTTTCATGGCCAGATTCAGCGGATTTGCCAAGAGAGCGAAGAACTGAAGGCCCTTGAACAGGTAAACTCTGTGATCACCTTCTGTTTTTTCATTTTGGACGAACCCAGAACGAAGCAATTCTTTGTTGTGCGCAAGGTTTGAAATAGATTCTTGCCGCACGAATAAAGCGTTGTCTTGGAGGTCGCTCGAGCCCAGACAGACAGCACGCACTTCGCATGCTGATTTGATGTTTCGTGATACACCCATGTACTGTGCAATACTGTGCAATAGCGCCTCAAAGTGGCCTATGTGAACAAGGAACGAGCAGCGCAGTACGAGGAGAATCGATTCCTGCGTCAGGTGGAGAACGACAAAGAGCAGGCCATAGCCGATCAGGTAAGGTGGCGTGGTGGTCCAGGACACAGACGTTCAACATCCCGAGCAGGCACTCCCCGATACCATGTATACACTAGTAGGTTCTGCTGCGGTGTGATGGTTGTCCTACCGGCCCGAAACTCGTCGCTGCCCTCCTGCTTCGTTCTAGCAAGGCAGTTCAGGTAGCCAAATATTCCGTTTCCCAGCAGTGAGCGCGTGATAACAACCTGCAGCAATGCGCTCCAGGCCGCTAAGTGGTCAAGTGGCGCTATGGTTGATCTCACGCTGGCGTAACCTTTGGTTCTTTTTAACAGCTACCCTTTCCTCTGCTTTTTCGTTTCGCTGTCCAACTGTTTCGTTGCAATACCATATAGATGGAACACGACCGGCAGATGGCTCTAAAAATGGAGGCAGACAAGGTAGCAGCTAGGAAGAAGCTACTCGAGGTACAAAGGGGTGCCCTGCATGCGCAAATGCAAGAGAGGGAGAGCCTCAAGCGTGAGGTGAGTGAGATACGGTTCCAGGTTGCGATTGGTCCATGCCAGTACAGCACAAATTGAAGTGTCGGTCGTACATTGGATTGCATACGAAGAGAGTGACGGGAGGTGTTTCGAGCCTCCTTCCTTCGTTCCAGAGTACTCCGCAAAATTGCACGGAACATCGCCTACCGAATGAATGGCGCATGGCATGGTGTGTTCCACTTGCTCATTCACTTTGAGCTGGGGGGCTACAGAGGCTCGAGCATGGCCCATTGGCTTTTTCACTACATATCCCGTGCGTTTACAGTTTGCAGTTTACAGCAGTACCGCAAAAATTGGTGTGTCTGAAATGCTTGTTCTTTGTCTTCCTCCAATCACCAGGCGATGATGGAAGCGGATCGTGATCGCGAAATGGTGGATGTGATTGTCAAGAAAATCGAAGCCGAGGAAAGGGCAGAACAAGAGCAGTACCTCAAGACTAGGTATGTCCGGGACCGAGAGGCAGTTGTGAACAGAAGTGGAGACAGAGCGTGGAATGTTGAGTCTTTGCAATTTGCAATAACTCTGTTACGCATACGAAAAACGGCACGAAGAATCGCGAGCTTCCTCTTACTTTTTTGTGTAAGTTAGAGCCATCTGGATTGGTTCAGTAACAAATAAGCTATTAAGTAGACTTGCAAGGTTCTGCAACATTTTACGTCAGAATTCGAGCTTCCATGCCAAGTTAGCTGCGGGCACCAAACATGGACCAGAGTATAACCGATCGTCGTAAATTCGGGGAGATTTAGAGCCGAGCCGGAACTAGTCATTGTCATTGGTTGTAGAGAGTGCTGTCCACCTCGTCACATCTAAAGAGAAACTTCGGCCCAAAACCTAGATTTACAACATGAAAACACCGATTCAAGCAAATCTGGCTTGGGCGGACTGGAAACGACAGTGGTTATACGCGGCCTACTCGCACGCATGGCGTGTATGCCCGCGTGCGCACACACCATGCACAATCCACTGCTGCACACAGCCGGAGAGAGAAAGGAGGGGGCACGATACACCTTGTGGGTGATTTCACATGAGTGGTATTGGAACTATGTGTGTGCATGCTGTTGTTGTGCGTGGCGCTCTCCGCATTGATTGCTATCTGACATGCACACACGCACCGTGAGCAAGGTAGTTTACTTGCATTTCGCTTTGGTGCACTTTTGAATCATGCACAGGCGACGTGAAGTACAGCCTTCGCATCATGTCCGCCTCAAGTGTGTGACCTGTCAGTACAAAGGAAGACTGACAATGCCAAACACCAGGATATTCGGCTCGTTGCACTGGCAATAGTTGTTTGAATCTAGTATCGTTTTTGGCCCCTCTCGATAAGACACATCGGGCCATTTAATGTATATCCGTCGTTTCAACTCTTAGGGCAAGCTTTTTTTTTTTTGTCTTGAAGGCACCCAGAACCCTGTCGCTGTCGAGTTGAAGGCAAACACCGCACCAGGCGGTGCGTTGGAGGCCTCAGGTAAATCAAGGACAGTTCCTCCACCCCTGCCCCCGCCGGGCTGAGTTACGTCCATTAACGAAGACAGCGAGAGCAGTGATAAATTCATAAAATCATGACGGTAAGGTGTTTGATTGACACTTGTGGGTGCTATCCGTCTTGTTCTTTTAATGTCTTGTCTCGCGGGGGGGCAGGGAAGAAACCCGACGCACTGTACAAGAGGCGGAGAGGCGACGGGCTACCGAACTCGCCAATCGCGCCAGGCAGGAGAAGGTTGGTTGGGCTGGCTTGCCATGTTATAGCTTAGTTCGGCCGGCCATTTTGGGTTTTGGCGTTCCTTTACCTCCGAAAATGAAAACACCAAAAACACAACCATCGCGTGAAGGCGACGGTACGTCGTCGTAGACCAGGGGTGCAGTGGAGGTCTTATATAGCTCTGTGGCAGGCCATGGCGTCGAAGCACTTCTTGCAGAAGGCGGAGCCGGTGTCATGTGTGGGCTGCAGGCTAGCTTTTGAGATCTAGTGGCATGCGAAGTCTCCTGCCTTGCAATGCGGAGCAGATATGTTCTGCTGCAAGAATGTCATAGTTTTATCTTAGAATTCAACTATCCAACAATGCGGCGACGGCAGGAAGAGAAGGAAAACATACGGAAATACATGGAGATGGTCGCCCAGCGTGAGGCTAAAGCGGAGGAGGAGAGACTGCGCAAGAAGGTAGCCGCCGACGCAGCGTTCAAGGCTGTTGTAGAACAGACGGAGAAGCAAACCAACGAGGAGGATGAGCTGCGAATGCTGAGGTGGGTGATACAGCAGTGTTGTGTTCTTCGTTTGGAGCAAGGGTGGCGTTATTTGACACCAGGACACCAGGAGAAGTATGGTTACCTGATATATGGTTTGAACAAACGCGTTTCTACGCTTGTTGTTTTTGTTTGTTGCAGAGACATGCTATGGGAGGAGGAGTTGGAAGCCAAGCGCATCCAGGACGACGAAGATCGCAAGCGGAAGGTACCTTGGTTTCTTCTTCCGAGGTCTTTATGCCCCAGGCGGCTATCGACCAGGCGGACATGAATGATGTTCGAGACTTGAGAAGAGGGAACGATTCTCGGCAGACTCCTAGCTAAGTGTTGTGATGGTTATAGGGGAGAACAGGGATCCTGCTGCAGTGCGCTACTCTTGGATGGCTGATCTGCCTGATCTGCCTGATCTGCCTGATCTGCCTGTCCATGTTGTGGTATCTCAACAGGCGGCCGAGAGCAAGCTGGCCATGATGGAGGCGAATGAGGAACAGCTCAGGCAGAGACAGGAGCGGCGCGCGGCCGAAAAGGAAGAAGAGAACCGCCTCATTCAGATCATGTTGAACAAATTCAAGGTGCGGGGTATCTGTGCGTGGCTTTGGTCTTTCACCGAATCCCGAGTTGGGAGTGCCTGCCGCACCCGAGACTATTTGTGCATGACGTCTCAAAACGGCATGGTGTCCCTCGTTTTTCACGCGGATAGCATGTGGGCGGGCCTACAGAACCCTTCTGTCGTGTTGTTAATGTGTGGCGTGCTATATTTCACGGCAGGTCGCACTGCGGAGGTCGCGTGACTAACCCGAATGTCTGTCTCCCATCTGCGCCCGTAAGATCTCTCCGGTGTTGCTTCGTGGGCAGCCTTGTCTACGGCAGCATGCACGCCTTTGGCAGGGCAGTGCTGCTTGTGTGTCCTTGTGTTGATTGCATTGCGGAAGTGGAGATTTTCGAATGAGTGTGACCATCCATTAGCGTAGGTGTTGCAAGCGTCATCATTTTGAAGCCTACCTTGATATTTCTTTCGGCTAATTGTGTTCAGGTAGTGCTACTGGGGTACTCCATTTTTGTGTAATCACTCACCTCCCGAGTGCGTGACCAACGAACCGGCTCAAAGTTTTTGTATGGTTTGCGTCCTTGGCAACTAACTCCCTGCACTAGTTGATTCTGTATTACGGACCCTCCCTGCGTATTCCATTTAGACCTTCTTTGGTTTTTCGTTCGTTTACCTTGAAGAGTGGGGAAGAGGTCCTGGATGTATGTAGGTCAGGACGGTTTTTGTCGTGAACGACCTGTGATAGCCCGACTCCCGTTGTCAACGTATCTTCATAGGAGGATGAGGAACGGGAAAAGCGGGAAGAAGAGCTACGCGAACGCATGAAGAAGGAGCACAAGAAGAACATCGAGGTGAGCACCCCTCTTTTGCTCCCTGGGAATAAGAACCTTTGCGCGCGATTCTTGGCATTCATTGTAAAGAAGCAAACACGTGGTGGAGCAGCTTTTGGCGTGCAGCGACGTCTTCGCGGCAACTGCCGCAAGAAATCCATGAAATACCTCGCCATACGTGTGAGTGGTTTGCGTGAACATAACAGTTTTTCCCAAGAACATTTTTTCAATCGTGTATCAACATGTCCTTTTGATGCCAGGATCAAAGAGAGGAACGCGCCGTCCTATACGAAAAGGAGAAGGAATTCGAGATGAAGGACGCTCACGCCGAGAGGGAACGAGAGCTCTATCGCCAACGCGTAAGCCTCTTGTTCGTGTGATTTACAACAATGTGTTGAATGCATCCCCGCGAAATAGAGCCAGTCGCGGCGACTTTGGGCGCTGGTTGCTCATGGCATGGGTGCTTGGCTGTCCTCGGGCATACGCGGTAATGTACGGACGAGCCCCCTGCGCGCGTGCCCGTGAGAAGGAACCGCGAGAAAAGACTCGCTGGCGCGAGAGAAGATAGATATGGCGAAGCACGAAGAGCATGTAACCTATTCCGGCATCGCATTTGCATCTGTCGGATTAATGATCAAGTCTGATCGTTGATTATTGAAATACGTCAGAAGGTGCCGGTCGTGTCCGTTTCATACCCGACACGCCAAGGGCAACACCCATGGTGGAGAGGATGGTGTTCTTCTCCTCATAGAACTGTGAACCTTGTACAGTCGCAATTTGAACTGAGACCGCCATGATTTGGGCTGTTCAGGTGGTGAAAGAGGCTCGTCGCCGGCTCCTCGAGCAACACGGAGCAGCTGTCGAGGGGTATTTGCCCAAAGGAGCATTGAAGTCCAGAGATGAGCTTCAGTTGGTTCGTGATCTCAGCAACAAGAGGGCCGACGGTGGTGCGCTGGGCCGGTATTTGTCTTGCCCGTTCCCCGGCACTGCCGGCGACGGCCGGTGATTTTGCGCAATGGTGATGAGCTCTTCGATCGAGAAGTAGGGGACACTGCGTACCATTTCGCCTGCACATCTTCCAGGCGCTTGCCTTGTTGCGATGTGATTATTGCTGACCATCGTGTGGGAGGGAAACGATTCGGATTTTCAGAATCACGTAGGTTCGGTTAATTATTTGGATACAACACTCCGTGGTATTCCCTTGCATGTACTGGGTAGTCTTACCCTGTACATCGCTCACGGGAAGACGGTATAATTCTGCGCTGCAATATGCCGTATATATGTGATTGCACTCAACAAACAATATTCGTCGATAGTGATGTCGACGTTTTTTTGTCTTGTTTGTTTTTCGCGAACAGGTTCTTTGAAAGCTTGTTCCCTCTTCCCGTTTAGTTCGTTGTGCTTGGTCGCCCCAACTTATTCATGGTCATTTGTAATATGTACCGATGATCCTTTGGTCTTGCCTCAGTATTTGAAGAGCGCTCTTACCCGGGCCGACACAGAGCACTGCTCTGCGGTGCCATGCATGCTTCAATTTGAACTTGAAATTCGTACCCTCAAAAATGCAATCACGACCTTACCTCAGCATATTGCGCTCCGTATTCAAGGACTCCAAACACCGTATATAGGCATGCGCCTTAAACAGATGGGCTGACAAGCATACACAATTCTTGGCCCAAAGGGAAGGAACTGTGTTCGTGCGGAAGCTCACCTATCCCATCTACTGTTGATTCCTACCCTCTCGATTGGCACCTACTTGCTTGCCTGTGTTTTCGGTGCTGTTTCACTTTCTGCCAAGGCCACATTCTCTGTGTACATGCTTATCGCGTACGAGCTAAGGGTTAAGACACATTCCTCAAGTTGTCACGGAAGACCATACAACAGTTTCGTACCTTGTTGGCACCAGCGCGATGGAAGCGCGCTCTCGACACGGAATGCCAACACTTCATCGACGCAAAAATCCTAGCTTCATATTTACCCCCGTATGTATGGTCCATGCACAACCATATGCCCAACGATTCCCCTGCACACAGGTACAACACTTGTCTTGGGGTAGGGATGGTGGGTGTTCTGGAATCCGGCAGTAACGTCAGGCAGGACACACATCTTCCTATTTTGGTTACTGATAATTCTCCCCTCGTTTCGCATGGGGTGGGTGGTGTGTAGCGTACCATATCCAACTCCTCAACGGATTTGGACAGCTCTTGGTACAGTGGGTGGCCCGATATAGTGCAGAGAAAATTCACCGGCACTAAACCGGACACCGGCACACTATTCGAAGTACAGAACGAGTTTTCCAGTGTGTGCGAGCCGAAAACACCGGCACTATAACGGCAACCGGCACTATTCAACCGGCACTATATCGGGCCACCTACTGTATTCCAGTGTGTGCGAGCCGAAAACACCGGCACTATAACGGCAACCGGCACTATTCAACCGGCACTATATCGGGCCACTCCCTGTATTTGCTACTGTTAAGGAGGACCCGATTCGCAGGGTATCCGTCGATTGACTTTTACCTGAATCGGTACACCTTCGCACTACTCCATTATTTTCCGATGAAATCACCTCCAAATAAATTTCCGCGAGATGTTGACAAAAAAACGGATCTGGCAGGCCGGTTCTATCGGTTTATATGGGAGATCCAACTCTAAGGTTTCAGAGACGAACGCGGCAAACGATTTCTCCGTCAACCGCCACCTGAAAGTTTTGTTTTGTTCCGAGGGAAAATTAATTTCGTGAGAAAATAACACATACCAGTGATGCTGATGCGGAGGGATTTCAGAGGGGGCTCCGTGGTGAAAAATAGGGGGCACTGTGGTGGTAAAGTTCCGTGGGTCTTTTTATTGCCAATAATGGCGCGCACCTTTTTTCAAATCAATGAAAACGTAACTGGAGAGGTGATCACAGATATCGTTACAATATTGTTGTGCATGGACCATACCATATGCACATACCTATGGAACGCATGGCATATAATATTTGGTCGTTTTTCGCTCTTGGGCATTTGTTTCTCTCGCGGCAACGCGTTATTTCTCGCGCCTTCTTCTCAGGACATGCAGGAGACTCGTCGATACATGAACGTTCGTTGATGTGTGGAGCTCGGCAGGTGTCTCACCGCGCGTGTGCTCGATCGCATTTGGTGTACCCAAACACACAAGCTGCCATTACATCCCCCCTGCTCTTCGCCCGTGAGTGAAGATGTTAAAATTACCAGCTTTTTTAGGCCATCTGTGGTGGACACCTCGGTAGCTTCTTCCGGTTCTCCTAGCTGCTCTCCATGCTGCTTACGATTCTATTTTCTGCCTTCCATTGTATAGCTACAACTGGATCCTCCCTGGCTACTCTTAATCATCCTCCATAGAGAATTCCAGAACAAATCCCCGCTCGAATCAACAAGACACATATCTTGTCTGAAAGAGTAAATGGAACCTGTACCTTTTGTGTCTCGGCCAGGAGCTCTCCATTGTTCAAGCGCCACATTTCCAGCGGGCCGCTACCAGGCCAGCATTCCGAATTTTTGGGCAATCACAGACCGCCATTCCGAATTGTCGGCCTCTCACAGGCCGCTATTTCTCCCATCATTTTCACTTGAATCAGAAAAGGACCCCCCCCCCAAGTCCGC